TTTGGTTTCCTGTACATAAATATAGCCGGAGAGCTGAGATGGGGGTGACTAGCTGCAGATGATGTCGAAAAAGTACCACCTAGTACATTTTAGGTTTTAAAAGTGCCGTTTTATAAACCAACAAAAAAACGTGTCATATTTTCCGTCATTGGTTATCCTCGACTTGCTCTGTGTGAGTGAGTTCGATGCGGCATGCGGTGAGGTCAGGGTTGCTGAGTGCGATGAATAATGGAGTGGAAAAGCAATCATAAAAGGGACACAGAGCACATGTGTGTGAGTGTTGAGTGCGCATGTTTCATTTTAAAATCTGTTTGTTTGCGTTAGTTAAAGAATCTGTGTCAAGGATGTGGGCTACAGGTTCAGCCTGATGAACTTTATTGATTTCCTTCGTCTGTGCAATGAGGCGCCGATCTTTAGAAAGCTTGAAAGGAACAGGGAGAGACGTCTAAAACAAACAATAAGAACATTTTTTAAAACGTTATGCTTCTACCCATTTTATTAAAGAAGCCCAACCATCAAAAATATGAGATTAAAAAAAGAGCCCTTAAAAGGGTATAGATATGTTATAAATAAATATTTGTTTTACATAAACCAAAACAGACATTTCCAAATATTTATTCATACAAATAAAAACAAATGTTGCAGACTGCAGTTCTAAATGAGAGAGGAGATCATTAGCAGCAGCAGCAAGCGGGATTCGTCTCCGGATCAGTGCAGCAGTGTGAAGGTCGCGGTCTTCTCCTCCACTCGGCTGTTTCTAGGTCAGTCGGCCATGCTGTCAGCTCCGTCTGCACTGCCGCAGACCCCCGCTGCCCTCCGCCGCATCCTCCAGCCCTCTGGACCCGACCGCAGTGACTCATGGGTGCAGCGGCCGTGTCGCTGCTGCGCGTCTCTGCCGAGTAATGCCTGGATAATAACCTCCACCGCCCATCACAGTCCCAACGATGGAGGCGATTAGACAAAAGACGCTGCTTGATGCACTGCGGGTTCAGGTGGAAGCTGGCGCCGCTGCAGCGCCCTCTTGTGGCGCAAGCGATGAACGCGCTCACATTCATAGGGACGTAGAAATTAGTTGATTAGTTTCTCATTGACATAAAAGCTTGGTTTTTTATTTATTTTAAAAATCTTTTTTTTTTTATTGTGGAAACATACAACATCTAAATGAAGTGTTTTAGCAGGTGCCCTGTCAGATAACAATTCAAATTCAACTTATTTATGAAGCACATTTAGAAACATCAATTTTACCAAAGTGCTCTACTTAAAATAAATCAAATAAAAGGTACATATATTAAACTTTTATTCTATTAAACTGTGTCTTAAAGAATACATGTAATCTCAGATTCTAATTTAGTGAGAAAGGTGCTGTTGCCCATCATTTGAGCACACACTGCCCTCTGCTGGCAGCTTGAACTCGACTTTCACAATTATCCTTTACCATTATGCATTCAGATGGAAATAATGGATATCACAGCAGTGGTGAAAACCTTTTTTATATTTCTAATATCCAGTTTAGAAAAATTTAGAGATTGTTTTGCATTACCAAGGTGATCTAACTGAACAGCGAAATCATTCCTCTCCTTGCTGTATTTCAGTCTAAACTGCACAGATGAGCAACATTTCACCTGTCCAGATTTTCTTTCAGTGCAGATTACTGTTGGATTATCTGCTCTTTGTTTTGTTGTCCTCCAGTCTCCTCCCAGTAAGAAGCGTAAACTGGAGAAAGCTCAGAAGCCGCTGTCATTCACACTACCAGAGGCAGGTGTGAAGGAGCTCCAGGCCAAGGCCTCTGCTGCAGGCGGCAGCAGCAGCAGCAGCAGCAGCTGTAGTTCTGTGGACAGCATCACTGCTCTGCTGGAGAAAACCCTCACTGAGCTGCGGGTAAGCTTCACGACTGTGTTCCCACTGCTACGTCTATCATTATTAATGATTGTCTGAAGCTGGTCTTTACCGATTCATTCACACAATTCACGATATGCACTTTATATAAAAGAATTAGATATCCACATATACTCAATTGGATATAAAGTTAAAGATGTGTACTAAAACTCTCTGAACACAATGTGTTTATTTTAATATTTCAGGATTTATAGGATGTAGATGTTCTAAATCCTGTCTGGTTCAACTAGAAAAGTCAAAGAAAAATTAAAATCTCCTTTACCCTCCATATTTCTGGACTAAGGCATTAAGTTACAAAGACAGAATCTTTTTTCCGCCAGAGTATTTATGATTATAATGAGTTACAACAATATTTAGTTTCCCTTGTATTTAAATCTTATATTGTCCAAGACAAAAATGGCATAAACAATGCCAAATTATTAGCATTGCAGAGACAATGCACATTAATTCCCCTTGCTGTAAATACAGCTGAATTAGCCCATTGGCTGTTTTTCAGCTTGCTCATTCTGGAGCTAAAAGTTAGCACACAGTGCTAAGAAGACACAATCTTCCTCCTCCTACCAAGTCAGTGGCCAGAATGTCATATCAACACACAATAAATTCATATCATTTGACTTATACAGCATCTCTATAACAAGTGAAGGCAAAGTTTTATGTGTAGCATTTTTTTTTTTGCTGTGGGTTAGTTAATTCTGGATTGGTTCCATTATGCTGAACTGGCTGGAGTCTTGTTTGTCGTTTTACAGGTGCTGCATAAGCGAGTCCCCTGCAGACAACAGGAGCAGAGCCTCTTCCTGACTGCTGTGGAGAACACCTGGATCCACGGCCGACAGAAGAGGCGTGAACAGACGCGTCAGCTACGAGAGCTTCCCAGAGCGCCTCCCTGTGCTGGGACCAGTATACAAACCAGTACGGTCACAGCTGCTCCCGTTTCCACTGAAAACCAAGGAAATGACAAGAGCCAGGAAGCCGACCTCAAAGGCAAACCTGTTTCTTCAAAAGAGTCGAGCACAAAAACTGAGACCTTGGCTGAAGGACGAGAAGAAAAAGAGGCGCTGCCAAATGCAGGGGATGAGGATGTGGACATGGATTCCTCCGTCTGCGCAGAACCAAGACAGGAAGCGGATGTGAAAACTCCTGCTGCTGGTGACACCGGACGGCCCTGTACCTCTTTAGGGGTCGAGCACTTTCTGTTCAAGTGTCTTCTGAATGTGATTCCAGAGGGAAGCGACGTAGGGGTTGAGATGCACTGGGTCGAAGGTCAGAACAAAGACCTGATGAATCAGCTGCGTACATACCTCAGGAACACACTTTTAAAATCTGTGGGGACGGTCTGAAGTTCAGGGAGACAGAAGCTGGTCTGTCCAGATTCTGAATTACGGTATTTAGAAATTTTGTATCGTTTTATAAAATACAAAACTCCTTCAAATTTATTAACATCATTTTATATTCTCGTTTCTTCTTAGCTTATCTTTTAAGATCATTTTTAGTTTTGAAACAGAAAACGTCCAAACTTTTGGAATAAATGTTTCATGAAAGTCTTTGCTTCATGTTTTTTATTTCGCAGTACACTTCTGTGACCACTGGAGGGTGTGAGAGTTCCCTACCTTGCAGCACTAATTCTTGTTTAATGTACCAGATTTTGTAGTGACTGTCTTGGACAATTTGTTCAACTTTTGCCTGTTTTTCTTCAGGACGTTTGTAGAGTCTCTCAGTATTTCCTATGTTTGGAGAGCCGTCGGTGTTGAAGCGCTCTCTATTATTACCCTGTAGTTGCTGTCATACATCCGTATTAGAGTCCAGTCAATAACAGGAAAACAGATTTAAACATTAAAGCCTTGCACACGTAGATGCACAATCCCTGCAGTAAAAAAAAACAAAACCGTTCCTGATCGTACAACTTGTGCCGTGGTCATGGCCGGACTTTGACTCCACTGTTTGTGTGTGTGTGTGTGTGTGTGTGTGTGTGTGTGTGTGTGTGTGTGTGTGTGTGTGTGTGTGTGTGTGTGTGTGTGTGTGTGTGTGTGTGTGTGTGTGTGGAGGAAGTCATGTGCTATTCAGTGAAACTAAAACAAGTTTGTTTGCTTTGTTCTTTTTGTCATTGGCCTGCCGTTTAGAGAGTTAATGTTAACAGCTCAAATTGTTTATACGTTATTTATGAAAGACACTTGCTTTATTGATAACACAAGCAGTCCAAGTGTTGCTATGTTGTTGGGATCAAATAAGGTTAATAATGATAACCCATTCATTCATCGTCTATACCCACTTCTAGGTGTTATGTCACAGGAGAACTCATTTCCTGCAGTCAGTGAGTAAAAGGTGGGATTGCTGAAATGAATTTTGGGGTAAAGAAAACTAATATGAAGTAATCATGTTCAATTGTTTAATAAAAGGGTAAAACTAGTTAAATGTCAGCTAGAACTATGCAACTCTTAAAGAATCTTAGGAGAACGTTCCCTTTTTGGTTTGTTTTTAACTTGGCAGGAGCCACAAGTTTTCCAATTGCTAAGATATTTAATATTTTTACAAACATACATGTTTTAGCCTTTGAAATAATTGGCACCCAACTGTATTTTTTGTTTGATCTAATAGTAAATCTGATCAGATAATTTAACAATTGGTAGCCTCTGTATCAAATACTTTTTAAAAAAATCTTGAGTAATTTTCTTGGAGGTGCTCTGCTCCCCTCCGAATAACCTCTGATCAATAAGCAGCTCTAAAACACTCGACTGTTTTACCGCTAATTGAAATCCTAGTTAGAAATTGAACATTTCTCTCTCAATGTTTCCCACATTGTGCGCTGCATGGACACGTGGTTTAACTGTTTTGCTGCTACACCGGCTTACATAAAACAACTTTTAAACTGTTAAAAGCCAATGTTTAACAACTGAAGAAGAAAAAAATGTCCACAAAACATGAAAATACTCCAAGATGTGGTGTTTGTTGGGAGTGCATTTTATCTGAACGGTTGACGTCAGCGGGGTTGCTCAGCGACGACGAAACGGCTACAGACCGTCGCTTCCTGTCCTGCTTCAGATTCTGTGACATTTTCTCTGTTTTATTACATTTTTGACAGACGGACGTAGGTCACAAGGTAGGCGCGTGGGGTTTTGACAGCTCCGAGCGTAAACTCCATTTGTAGAGAATGGCGGCGGACTCGCGATGACGTTAACGTCCGTTCGCCATACATGGCCAGAGAAAGCCAATAAGAGTAGGGAAACGTCGTGTTTGAAAAATATGTAACCCAGAGCGTTGAAGGTTTTTATTTTTATTTTTTTTTAAAAACACACACCGCCCTGAGTCATGTTCCGTGTTTTGTCTTCCTCTGACAGAGGGTGGGGCCGGCGACGTGTCTGTGGGCGCGTCCTAACGCTGCGTGATTCACAAACCGTACTACTTTGAGCGCCATCTTGTTTGTAACTCCTCTACGTAAGTGGCTGGGTTTGTGCAGAGAAGGAGGAGGATCCGATTACTTCATTTTTTCGGTTTGTTTCTCCCCCCCTCCCCCCCAGAGTTAGTCTGGGAACCTCTTCCCGTACTGTACTACACGGACGCGGACCTCTCCTTCGCTGTTTTCTCCACAGGAAAATCCGGGCAGTGTTTTTTTTTATTTGCCACTGGATAGAAATGAGCATCGAAACGCTTCTGGAAGCTGCCAAGTTTTTGGAATTACAAGCCCAGCAGCAACAGAGAGCACGTGGTAAATCTGGATTTTTATTTGTATCGTTACATTCGCCGTGTTTTACAAAGTGTAGTTTTTAAACTGCGGGGTTAGAAAGGACCAAAGAAGGCTGATATTTGGGGTAAAAACGACGGATGTTGCTCATTTCCTGGCGTCACTCACGCAGCGATTTCTGTGCAGTTGTATCTTGATCTAAATATGAGATCTGTGCATCTGCGAAATGTCAGGGACTATTTTAGTTTTACTTTCGGATTTGTGTTTGCGTGCAGACGCTTGGCTTGCAGCTAGTTTATTTGATCAGCAACAAAAATAGTGAAATATGCTTTTTTTTTTACTGCAGTGAGTGCCAGCGTTACTGCATTGAAACCTGCTGCGCATTTCACAGTGTAAAGTTCTCAGATGGTTTCTGCTTTTACTTCATTATCATAAGGATTATGCCATTACGCTTTATAAGAGACCGCTTTATTAATCCATCGACCCAAACGGGGGGGATAAAGGGCGGTGGCGCTGGGAATGCCAGGCTCCTTTTTATATAATGACCTGACAGCGTCCAAAGGGGATCAAGTGACTGGTTTACATACATCTGTCCACTTCAATCACCCACTGTGGGTAAAAATACGAACTATAGTCTTACTGTACAGAGACACGACTGCGTCTCTCCGTCTACTTATATCAGTTTTTTTTAAAATAAAAATAAACAGAAACAAACTCCTGTTCCTCTCAGACGCTGGTGGGGGGGCTTTGAACGTCTGTCGATGACGCGCTATCAACAAACCTCGCCCCGAAGTATTAACTGCATGCTGACTCCGCCCCCTTCACCACGTGCGTGCTGGGCTACCCCTCCCAGAGCTTGTTTATACAAAAGATGGGTCACTACTCTGGAAGTTTAACCTCATTCCGCCAAAAAGGAGCAGAAAACCGAATATGTGGCTAACGCAGTTTCCATCCATCATTTGGTTCAGGAACTACCCGGACAGTTAGATTTGAACAAAATAGAAAGAGATTTTTTTTTCTGTAATTTTTTCACTCACAACCTTATTTCTATAAAAATATAGACAGGTTTGGTATATTTAGGGTAGATTGTCCAAACTACTTGCAAGGGAATATTGTCTTTAATTGGGGTTAAAGACTTTTGTATGGGTCTTGGGGTGATATGAGGGGTCGATGTGGGGTCACAGGGTTTCCCCTAGTGGAATATAAGCCTGGCGGGCCACCAAGCTTTATTTGTGCCCCTACCAGGCTGAGCATTGCTTATTTATTTAAGTCTTTTTTAAAGTGTTTACATTTATAGTTGGTGTTCAGGTCTTAATCTTCCAATTTTTCAGTAACACATGATTATCAAGTGATGTTTTCACATTTTCTGTCAGCTTTAAACTTTTTTTTTTTTAACTAAAAAAAAAGGCTGCTAAATGAATGAAGCAAGTTTACCTTCGGGTCAGTATAAAAAATATTCTTCAATAGGCTAAATAAAGTCAAGGGGGAAAAAAATCGCTGGTCTACACAAAGAGAAAGTACTTGATATGTTCAATTAATTCGTAAGATGATGCTCATAAGTGAAGACCAAATTTTATGTAATGGCATGTTTTTTTCTGACTGTATTACCATGTGAGTGTTGTTTTGGGGTTTTTTAAACACTGTAGCATCTCTAGTTGGATAATTTTTGCTTATCTTGTGGTAATTAAGATTTTTTTGTACCATGACACACAAGTCTTTTTGTTGTGGTAAAATATTTTCAGAAATCTGAATAGAGCTATGCAATATGTTGAGTTGCAATCATTGCACATTTATTATATGGAATATTATAATTACAAAGGCCTGCATGTATGCAATATTTTAAAGTGCCATCCACTTATTCTCTCTATACCACTAACATATTTGGCCAGTACTTTCATGGTCTTTGATGCATATTTTAGTGGCTGAGATGATAAAGCTTACACACAGAGAAAGGGGGCATTGTACTGTCAGGAAGTGATTTGTAAGAAAAATATGAGTGAATCATCATAGTAAATGCAATACTAAATCATTATATTGCACTTACAGGCTTAACTGATAGTGTGCAGCCCAATTACGGAGAGAAACGGTCACAAAAATTTACCTGGAGAACACATGCATATGGAGGACGTTTACAACTCTGCACAGACAGGCCACCACTGGGATTTAAACCCAGGATGTTTTTGCAGTAAGAATAACCTCACCACAAAGCTACCTTAATGTGCTCCTTCAGGACCAGATGCAAGCTCATTAAGATTTTACAGCCGCACCTGGGATTAAATTTAAGCTTCTCTGCCTGCGTGGAGATTTGATACGTGTTAATCGTGAAATTTTAAACCGTCTTCCTAAAACAAAAAAATGTCTGTGGCTGTTTACAGCCTAAACTTTGATGAAGTTGGTGTGAACAAGAGTTATTAGAACAGGATCAGAGTGAGAACTCCTGCTTCTCTCCTCTCTCTGCTCCTCCTGCTTTGCTGCACTGGGGGAGCAGAGTCCTCTTCCTCCTCCTCCTCCTCCTCCTCTGCTGCTGTAGAGCAGGTCACTGTGTGCGGGAAAGTAGGCCAGTGTTTCTCTATGTGCTGCTGCAGTTATATAATGCCTATAGAAAACCCACAGTTTTTTTCTCCCCTAACTGCTTCATTTGTTTTCTGTCTGGAAAGGCACTGCTGTTTATGTGCCTACGTCACAATACAATAAAGCACGACTACAATAACACAACGCACCACGTCTTATGAAAGTGGGCCAACGCAGTTAGCAGAACATCCTGTTCTTTTAGCATTTTCCCTACATGGAGGACAACTGTTTATAACGTGACATGACACATATACAGAGAAAATGACTGGTCAGTGGGATGGTATAAAAAGCTTTACCAGTTATTTAAAACAGCAGACATTTCCCTCAAGGCTGTTTTTTTTTTTTCCTGGATTATGTCAAACATGTTTAAGAAGTTGCAACATTGTCTGTTGACACACATGAAGCAGTGAAATGTTGTTTGTTCAACACATTTGCACTTTTCTTGGTTGTAATAGCCAAGAACATTTGGTTTTGGTTTCTATAAGGTGTCTTCATGTAATTTCTTATACTAAACCAAGTTTTCTTGGTTCATTACAATCCTTAAGTAAAGATTTGTCCTACAGAAGTAGACCTCTGAAGTTCTTCACCTTTGAACTCTTCTCTGTGGGGCAAATCAAATTCTGATAGGTTTCACTCAGCAGGGGGACGCTGAGTGAAACCTATTTTGAGTGGATTTGAGTGTAAAATATTTCACTGTCAATGTTTTACACCAACATCGGCTAAATGGTTTCAGAAATATTCAAATTTATGCATTATGCATTGTGTTGGATGTATCCGATGAAATGGCCAACCTTTTTGGTTTGTTTTCGCATCAATCTGCAGGATGAATTTGATGCACTTTTTGAGGGTATTAAAGGTCAGCTGATCAGCGTGCTTTCACTGTTGGCTTCACAAGTACTGCAGCACATTTATTTTCTCTTTTATATGTCACAGTCCTTTGGAAATAAAAACAAATGCAACAGTTAATGTGACAGGATAAAGCCATAATATTTGAAAACTGAAGCAGTAACTTTTTTTTTTTGAGAACTCCAATGAAAAAAAAAAAGTACTCAAGCTTTTTTCTTGTAATTTTAAGACGTTCTTCTGGGTAAATTTGCTTATTTATTTTGCTAATAACATGATCTTGTGATTTAAAACAATTCTTGTAGCCTTACATCTCACAGAATGCATAATTAATATAAAAGACACTTTTTGTCACTTGTAATTTTGTTTTTAAAGAAAGTGAGGGAAAAAAATCATATTTAAAATCGGTTCAGGCATGAAAAAAAAAATAAAACGGCAATTTTATTTTTGAGCTACATTGCCCAACCTTAACAAAACATATTTTTTTTTTTCTAATGAATTGCACTGTGGGTATGAGTGAGCTGTTGGTAGATTAGTAACCTGCTTATTTTTGTCCTTCCGCAGAGGATGAAGTGAAAGCAAAGCTGCTTCTGCAGCAGAAGACTGAGTATATTTACCCTGATGTGACTTATAACTCTACACCGCACATCAACAATGTCCCCAAAGCAGAAGAACGTCTCACCGAGTGCCGCCCACCACCCATACCTCCCTCCTTACCTCCCTCTTCTATGCCCGTCACTGTCTTGCCCATCCCTGTGGTTACCCCTACCCCCACAGGGTCACCCTCTTTGCCAGTCACCACCCTTTCACCTCCAGCTGCTCCGTCACTGGCCTTCCCTAACAGAGATCCTCAGTCCCCTCAGGAGCAAAGCGCAGCGGCCGTGAGGTGCTCCCCGCCTCTCAAAGCCGACTACCCAACTCCTGCGGTGACAGTCAACCATCAGCAGCCCATCCAAAACCATCACAACCCCTCGCTGCTCGTCGACCAAAACACTCAAGTGCAGCAGCAGCCGACGCCACCGCAGCAAGTGGTTCAGTGCTATGCAGGTTCAATCATCTCAACCCCTCAGCATCAAGCTTTACTTCCCCATCCTAGCCCCTTGCTCCAGCCCACTGCCCCGCAGAACGGCACCGTCAGCCGGGGGAGTCCGCCTGACGACATCCGTCACCTGGACAGTAAGAAGAGACCCGGAGGGTACGTCCAAAGAAATGAGGCTGGGTGTTATTTTAACTGTTAGAAGTTTGGAATAGTTTCACCAAATCAATATGATGGCTCACAAAATGTCAGAAATAATTATTAACGCAGAATTTATCCCCACAAAACGTAGAAAGAAAGAAAATATTTGATTAACTGTGATTGTTTTCGTCAGGTTGCCTCAGTTGGACATGAGGTTTTTTTTCTCTGTTCTTGCAGGGCCGGCACAAGAGAAGTGCACAACAAACTAGAGAAGAACAGGTGAGTTTTACCCGCCTCCTTAATGACTGGTACCTCACTGCTTACCTCTTAACGTCTGCTGTAACAGAAATGTAAAAGGTCTATTTCACTGCAAAACCACACAACCTCACCAAATATTTTTAGTCTAGTTTCTCGTTCCGCTGGCAGATTATTTTTTTGATGACAAGAAATGTCTCCCGTGTTATAATGTGACAATGGAACTCATACTTTTTCATCAACATTAAGGAATTATTGACTTAAGACAAACTCCTATATCTTGCTGAAAAGTTACTTGCAAGTTATTTTTGTCTTTTTTAAAGTCTTATAAGATATTTGCATTAGAAACTAGACCAAAAATACTTGGTAAAATTTTGTTCTTTTGCAGTGTAGCTCTTTTTTATTTTTTTTTAAATATATATATCTTAGAGGTTATTAAAACTAGTCATTTTGGAAGTTTGTTTTCACTGATTCGGTCTTCATTGCATCTGCCAGGCGAGCGCACCTGAAGGAATGCTTTGAGACGCTGAAAAAGAACATCCCGAACATCGACGAGAAGAAAACCTCCAACCTCAGCGTGTTGAGAAGTGCACTCAGATACATTCAGGTGAGCCCTTTCAGCAGCTGCCTCAGTGTTCGGGTTTATCTGCTCTCTGGGTGACGACAAGCTTTGTGGCTTCCTTTCTGAAGACTGCGTGTCATTTGGAAGTGAAGCGTGAGGAATAGAGGGAGTGGCAGGACAGAAACCTGCTCCTCTGCTATAAAACCGTGATTGGCTCCAAAGCAGCCAGCTCTGTTGGCACAACAACAGGAGTGTCCAAGCAGTTCAAACACCATTTGCGCAAGGCGTTTAAATCTATTTTTAGCTCGACTTAAGCTTCTTTTGAATTTATTCAACTACAGTCTTTTTCACTTTATTCTGTTCGGTGTAATTGTTACTGCCGTTAAAAGGCCTGCTCATGACTCACTGCGTGTTTGATTCAGTGTGGGTGTTGTGGTTGTAAACTGCTGGTGCAAAGGTCCACCGCTGGCCCAGTTTAATAGAGTGAGAATTCACTTTTTACAGACTTTCACTGTTTCCTTTCAAACTCATTTTTTAAAATAGTTGATCATTAAAAGTGAAATAAGAAGAGTCAGACTGGTTTTTGGGGCTCATATCAATTTGAGCTAATTCTGATTTCTCTTTTGAAGCTATGAGAAAATATAAGATCAGTATTTAAATATTTTTGCTTTGCCTTTATGCTGTCATATCATTTGATTTGGGATCAGAATTGGTCAAACAAGATTTCATGCTTTTAAAAATAATCAAATCAGGGTTGTGATGTAGTTGTAACCCCTTTTGCAGAGTTTGCGCAACTAGCGTTGCTAAAACAGCATTTTCCATGACAGACAGAGGGAATCTGAAAGGCCTAGAATATCAGCCTTGCTGCATGATGTGTACCTTTTCTGTTTACTGCTGCACAAATCAGACATGTTGGAGAAAATACAATTTTCAGCTTCTTATATCCGTGCGTCCTCTAGTGGATTTGAATTGTTTTACTAATGCTGAAAATGACAAACTTCAACTTCCACACTGAAGAGTGTTGTCTAACCAGAAAAGGAGCTGATATTTCCTGACAGATCTCCTGAAATCCCTCTGATCTGAGAGCAGCTCCAGTAGTTCTGAGGCTGACATGTTTTAAACCGCTTTTGCTACCTGTCACTGAGCGATGAACCAGGTTACTTTATTCACTCTTGGCCTTTCTACCAGAAGTTACTCCCCAGATTTTATTATTGAACAGGGGAGCCGATTTGGGATGTTGAAATTGAAGAGGTTGATTTGTGGCTGACAGGAATTAGAGAAGCATTAGTCTGGTTGGTCGTCTCAGGAGGAAAGTGGGACAGCGTGGGTGCACGGCTCATCACTCAGCCTCCCTCTGTGATTTAACATCCTGCTGTGCCTGTCGTGATAAACTGGCACACTGACGTCCCCAGCTTTCCCTCATAATGACTTAGGTTAACAATCGCTACATTTTAAGGCACAAAGAGGAAAGAAAATTCTTATTATTCTTCCCTCCATTATGTAGTTGCACAGAAACCGGTTCACGTATTGTAGGTCACGAAGGTCTATCTGTATTTGTACTCGTGCAAGCCTTTTTCCCCGCAAAGAGGATTTTTCCAGTCACTGGGCGGGCAGAGGAGTGACACACACACAAAGTTTGGTTTAAAAGGAAAACAAGATAAAGTGGAGGCATGGGAACACGTGTCCGGTCTGCGTACTCCTCTCCCCGCCCCTGTTGTCTCTCCGTCCCGGGCCGACGGGAGGAGGAGGAGCAGCTTCTTGTCTGAACTGCGGCTCAGAAAAGTGATTTGCAAAAAGGCTTGGCATCACATTTCATTTCTACTGCAGCCGAACCCGAATGTTTATGTAATGCTAAAGTAAGCACAGGCGCAGGGTTTTTTACACTTTTCCACAAAATTGCCAACTGCTTGAATATCTGGACTTCCTCATATCATCTTATCAGCTTGTGACTCAGAGCAGATTAACATGGAGTCAGGTTATTTCATATTTTTCTTCTCAAGCAGTTTCTGTTTTTATTATTATTTGATTATGATCCTCCCGCTGCTAAAGGCATCCTCGTGAGCCGGCAGCGTAAAAGTAACACGAAACAAGAAAAAAAATCACAGCGACTGGAAAGTTAAGCCGCCGCATTAGCGCTCCTCCTCCTCCCTTCGTCTACCCTGCCCCTCTGAGCTTTTAAGGCCACATGAGCAGCGAGCACATGGCTTCCCAGGACCGCGAAACGTCACCCCCCTCCCCCTGCGCTGCCCCCGCCCAGCACGGCATCAGGCAGGACTCGCTGTACCGCGGCGTTGAGCTGCCTGCAGCAGGGAGGGAGCATGGAGTGGTAAACACAAGGCTCGGCTTACTCCACTCTCGCCTCGTCTCCCTCGCTGGCCCAACTTGTTCCTCCACTGCCAGCCGCTGCGTTTACGACTAAAACTGTGGCAGTCAGGCTTTAGAGATTAATTATTCTCTAAAGCCTGTGACAAAATGACATTTTTCATTTATTTCGAACCTGTAAAATGTCAGAAGAAAACGCATTACAATGTATAAGAAGAAAACAACTCCATAATAATAATCAAACGTAAAAAACAATATTTCATATCCAATTTGCAAAGAAGTAGGAGAAAAGCAAAGCTTATCACATCCTATCCCCACTTATCTTGTCCAAATACGTCCCACATTATACATATTTACACACCTAATTCTTGTGGATTGTGGTCCTATTCTTGAAAATCCACCGTAGTTAATGTACTATTTTCTCATTTTATATTAATTCAGCTTTATGTTCAGATCTAAGAGGTCAGAATAATAAAGAAAATGAAAATCAGTGTTACAACCTTAAATATGTCAAGTCATAAAATGAAACATTGTTCATATTATTGTTATTATATGTTGTGATACTAATATATTTATATATATATGAATACATTTGATCTATTTACATCATTTCAACTCTAACCACAAACAAGTTAAAATTAATTTGTCTAAAAACTAAAACTATTCTAAAAAGAAGATGAAATCAAAACAATCGAGGGTGAAACGATACGAAAATTCATTAAATATATTAAGAAAAACCAAAAAAAGTCCCACTGACATTCAATATAAGTTCTTTAGTTTCTTTTAAAATGCAGTACAAGCAAGAGAGAAAGAATAATTTAAATTGTATAGACCAAGTTAAACAAGTGAGTCCCGAAGTGATATCCTGGATCATGAGAGCAAATATGCAACCAATATCTGAACCTCGGATCAATTAGATCTGAACTAAGAGGTAATTAGGACAAATATTAGTTAGTAAATCTTTTCTCACAATGAAATCATTCAGAAAGTAGATATTCTCTCCCTCAGACAAGCTTTTAATTGTTAGTCAGGCACCATGTGAAATTCGTTTTTCCTGCTGGAAGGCCCAGAATGACAGTGGTCTATGGTAACTGGAGCGTCACAAGACCTGTGCAGAAGCCCGGTCGGTGGGCCAGGCTGAGCAGCGTGTCTGCAACGTGGCCTGTGGCGCTGCTGGCCCTTTAAGAGGAGCCAGCCGTGTGCTGCAGCACTGAGTCAGTGAGTACAGCTTGTGTTGCTCCCTCTCGATCCTCCCCCCTCCCGCTCCCTGTCTCCGTGGCCATGTGCTCGGCACTTGCATTGCTTGTGACGGAGCTTTGCTGCTGTTTACCCTGCATGCGTGTTCACACACTCACACACACTCCACACAGGGTTCAGCCTATCTGCGTGCTAATCTAGATGTCTACACACAAACAAACCTCAGGTGACGCTGCGTCTCTTGGAAAAAGAGGACTGGTCTCTCCTCGGTGTGCGGCCATGAGCAAAGAATAATAAAGTTCTTGGCAATTTGTGTCTCACCAACCTGGTGACATGATTAACATGCTGATGTGCGATCCATCTGCTGCAGACTTAGCCACCAGGTTAACTTGGCTAATCTCAGCTGTTATTAACGAGAAGTGAGCACTGTAGCCTCCGCCACCGGGTTCAGTGGGTCTCCATGTTTCTGGAGCGCATCTCCTCTCTGCTCCAGGCTCTCTTCTTGACTCTCCTTGTACTATTATGGCAGCTTGTGACTCAGATAAGATTGCAAAAAAAAAAAAAGAAAGCAGTTCCATCTGTTTTGGGAGTCTTTTTTTCTCCCGTATTGAATTTAAAAGTCAGTATTTCTATGTTGAGGCGAAGTCGGAGATGACCTCACGGCACTGTAAGAGTCTGTGTTTGTTCAAGGTTATGAAAGAAACCTTGGAAGATCCTCCGTTGTTTCCCTGCCAAACAAAGATGGAGGCATTCCAGTGACATCAACACGGAGCGGCTGGTCCTCTCTGAGAGTCCCTTCTGTGTCCAGATGTCTCTGACTGTTTGACACAAAAGACGTTATCAGTCATTGAGGCGTTTATGTTCTGCCTGACTCATTGAGCAGTAAAGTGCTGTCGTTATCTGTTGCATTTCCATGGCTCCAAACATTTTAATGTTTCAATATATCCGACTAAAGAGTGAAATCTTGATCATCTTACAAAGACATGTTTAGAACCATGGACTCAATAAAAACACAGGTAAGAGTGTCCACAGCTTGGTTTCACCTTTTCCACACAGGTTTTAAGAATTTTACAGAAATAGTTTAATTCAGACGCAGTAAAAGGTTTTCAGGTTAAGTCTTCCTGGAATCTAAGCAGAACTAAACCCATGCTCTGGGTAAACCCCTTCACAGCCCCACATTCATGTGGATCGCTCCTATCGGGGGGAGGTGCTGGAGGACTTCAGATCAGAACATTCTTCCAGGATTTTTTAATGGAGAAAGGATTTCATAGCTCAATCAATGATTTCAGGTTGTTGAAGTCGTTTAGCTTGCTGGAGTCCGAAAGCTTTAAAATGGGGTTTTAACAGCCACTCTACTTCTTTCTCTTGTTTGGGTTTTATTTTCCCAAACAAGAAATGCCTTTTCAGAGGTTTTTTTTAATTTTTATTTCTTTTTAGAATAATTCATGTTGTCAAACGGGTTCAGTTTAGGGGGTTTTCAGGCCTTGGTCTTTTGCAGGTGAAGTTGAGCTCAAAATGTGGTGAAGTATGTTACATTCCTGTTTGTACATCGCTGTGGTTCAGAACACATCTTTTTTAACCCGCTGTTTCTACTCAGCATCTTTATATATATTAAAAGTCATTGGATAATGTAGAACATTTAGGCGTTTGAGAATTTTTTCACAGCCTTGTAAATCATGCTGATGGATCGCATTTAACGGCCCATCAGGTTTTTTTGTAGATCTCTGCCAATAAGATCATTCCAGCTCATCTTAGTTCTCTTCAAAAACCACATCCTATGTATTTAATTGCCAATGTAATATTCTAAACCATGTCACTCATACTCTGATTGGTTGGCCCATGCGAGGCGACGTCACAAGAAGCATGTGTGTTTAGAGGCCTGGCTTTAGGAGGGTGATTTTATTCTGATCGAATAATAATTTTACAGGTGAAAAGCTGTATTGAAAGTCAGTCTATTATTATCATTATTACTTTCCAGTGAATTCCTGTTTGTAGCTTCAACAACCAGAAACAGGAACTCTGTCCATGTGCTTCAGTGACGGCCTGGTTGCAGAGCGGCGCAGCAAAGCCTCAGAGTGTTCGGCCCGTGTTTTTCTAATCCTGGATCAGGACTAAAGCGAGACAGGTGCCGACTTCACACTCGGCCCGCCTTTTGTTCCCCTCTGCTATTTGCGTTCATGTGCAGCGTTGTGCTGAGGGACGTGTGCAGAGAGCAGGTCAGCACAAACCTTTCCCATCTCATGCTGCTGCTGCTGCTGCTGCTGCTGCTGCTGCTTCATGCACCCCCCCTGCTGCCCATCCTCCCTTTTTCTCATTTGCCCTGCACACGTGAACAGGAAGTCCAACCTTGGAGAAACTGGCTTTATGATCCTGAGTCATCAGGTTTCACAGAGCCACTTCCCTCCTCGCCAGAGCGCGTGTTGGATAAAGGAGCCACGCTCGTGAAAAGCACGACGAATCATAGTGCTCAGTTTCAAAATGTTATAATAATATGGTTGGTCTTGTCTTGTCATGCTGGGCTCAGTCTTTAGTCAAAGGTAATTTCCTTGAGGGTTTCTGGTTGTTCTGACTTTCAGTTGATGTGTGTTCAGGTTTTCATGTGTTTTCCTCCTGATGGCTCGGACAGGGAAGTCCAGCTCAGTCAGCTGCCGAAGGCGAATTGGGTCACAAGGAGCCGCTGCCAGGAAGCGCCTCCTACTACCATACTCCTCCTCCTCCTTCACGCTGCAGCACTGTTATTTTTGTCTCCTGCACAGCACAATAAATAATTTGAAGTAATCAGCTTAAAAATCTGGTAAACGTTTTATTCTCAGTGTTTCAAATCTTTTATCCCAGATAAAAGGGTGGAACAGGGTGGAATCTGTTAAGTTATTACTCCACTTCTTTCAATAAGTCACGCTTTTTCACTAATGCGAATTAGGCTCATTTAAAGTAAAATGAATGAGACTGTTTCCCCATGAAGCCAGATGTGCTTGTAATAATTTAATTCATTTTATGGAGCTTTATCCCCAGAGTTCATATGGATGCTTGAAATCTTTAAAAAGGCTCAAGTTTCCCAAGATTTCCAGAAACAGTTTTGAGTGTCTGGAAAATGTTTGATTTCTGTTTGAATTAAAGTGGAATCTAATATCTGGTTAAAAGCCTAAATTTGGAAAATGTTTGTAGTTGAGACCAGATATTTAAAGATATTAAAGACATCTACATTTTTTTCCCTCACTCCAGCGAAATCGGACTGAACGTCTCTTGTTTCATGTCGCTTCCAATCAGTGTTATTTCTACCTGCTGATCCCCAAACAGTTTGAAATGGAAGAAACCTTTCAAAACACAAAATCTTGTTGTATTTTAGTTCCTTGATGTACGATGCAATCATTATGCAACAGCAATAAAAGATAAATAATAGAGAATTGAAACTGTCTTCTTCAGCTCATTTGTATTGTTTTAATCAGAACAGTGTTTGAAAAATGCTTTGAATTTAACTGTGGGAAAAGCGTACGAACTCTGAACCTCTGCCCTTCATCAACCCGACGCTTCCATCTGTTTCCAGACGTTGAAGCGCAAAGAGAAGGAGTACGAGCACGACATGGAGCGGCTGGCCAGAGAGAAGATCGCCACGCAGCAGCGGCTGGCGGAGCTGAAGAACGACGTGAGCCAGTGGATGGACGTGGTGGAGATTGAGCGCGTCCTCAGACAGACGGGGCAGCCGGAGGAGGACCAGGCCTCCACCTCCACCGCTTCAGGTGAGCACATCTGGCCCACAGCAGCTCAGTGGGATGCTGTGAAGAACACTGTTCTGTTCATCACCTGAAAGTAGTGCAACTGTCCACCCGGAGGCAGCATTATTAAAATTACAACAGTTTTTTTCCCCTCAAAATTCTGCACACAAGAACCCCAGTATGACGATGTGGGAAAATAGTTGAGATTTTTGGAAATTTATTGAAAATGTCTTAATACTTGTTGATCCACCGTCAGCAGCTTTTTCAGTCTCAAGTCTTTGCATCTGAAGCCTCCAGTTCAGCTTCATCTTCAGTTCTTCTTCTCCTCCATCAGGTTGGACGGAGACGTCTGTGCAGCTTTTTCAGATCTCAGGAGGCATTTAGTCAGACTGAAGTCACTCCAACAGTACAACACTTTTAAGCCAGAGCTTCAATATTATCAATAGATCAAAGCATTAGCGTTTGTTTGGCTCAGGCAAACTGCAGAGACGCCCCAGGAGGCCGTCACTGCAGCCAACAGGTTTTACCTCGTTTAGATAAAGGGGCGAAATACAACAAGTGATTGTTGTATTCAGTTTACATTCATGTTCTACTTTGTGTTTGTGCTGAATCCCAGCATGATGCTCCTGAGACTGACGGTGAGTGTTGTTGTTGTTCCAGAGGGTGAGGAAGGAATGGAGGAAGACCTGGAGGAAGAGTCGGCTCAGAGAGCGCCGCGCACCTCGCCCGCTGCGCCCCACACCATGAAGCCCGAGCTGCTCAAGCTCGTCACCCAGACTCCAGCTGTGATCCCCGCCACCACCGCCTCCATTATCACCCAGCACATCTCCACCCTGAACAAAGCCCCCCTGCTGCAGCCCCTCCCACTGAACCCTGTAGCCCCGCCCATCCTCCCCGCCCTGGCATCCAGCGCTCCCAGCCCTCCATCCGTTCCCTCCAAGCCCGTGGCCAGCCTGCACCCCACGGTTATCGCCCACGCTTCGGTCTCCCACCCCTCCGTCATCCAGGCAGTGAACCACGTTCTCCACGGAGGGGCCCCCAAACACGTGACCCTTGCCCCCTGTACCACCAGCAGCTCCGTGCAGCTGGCCCCCAGTCCGCAGCCCATTGGCCACATCACCGTTCACCCGGTGGCCCACCTGGGGCAGCACATCCCGGCCCTCTACCCGCAGCCGGTGGCGGTCACGCAGTCGGCCGTGGTGGGCCACATCGCCCACCCGCACGTCAACGGGACCTCCTCCACCCAGGCCACAGCCGCCGCAATAGTCGGCAAGCAGGGGGCGGTGAATCAGATGATGGCGCACCATCCGCAGCTAATGGGTCAGACGGTGCTTAACCCCGTAACCATGGTGACGATGCCCTCCTTCCCCATCAGCACTTTGAAGTTGGCCTGAGAGGCGTGGAAAGACTGGGATCAGCAGGGCAGGACGCTGCAGACCGACAGCAGCCAGGGAGCCAATCCAGGCTGCATGAGGTCATCAGCATGCGCCCACAGCAAACGGGTGCATGTGCTTTTTTTAGACAGAGAAGCAGAAGATGTTGTCACATCATGATCTGAGCTGGACTCTGATTTAGAGCAGCTCCTCCTCCAGCAGCAGCAGCAGCACATGCTGCAGGGCTGGAGCTAAATCCCGGACTGACTCAACCTTCTGCACCACAGCTGGAGTCAGCGCTGACGCTGCGCACGGCTACAGCGCCCCCTCCTGTCAGTGCGGTGTAAAACCACTCCGATCATGAATATACTGAAGGCTAATAACCAGATAACGCTCTTACAGTAAAATAATGTGCAGTTTTGGTTTCGACAATCACAGTTTTCGCTGTTCCCTCCAGTCGTACACATGTAGAGTTGTGTTTTTGTTACTGCTTAGAGTACCAAATATTTTTGCCAAATAGAATCAGTCGCTGCGTCGAACTACCCAGCAGCCTGGTTTATATATTTTTATGACCGCAGCAGAAATGCGGACGCTCATAAGAAACGCATTGATCCACAGCGACTACTCTGACATGGGTATAAACTTCAGCACCAGATGAGATGAATCATCTTTTAACAAAGCCTGCACTGTGAACATTTCTACTGTGTGAGTGCGGCGACACGCAGCTCTCTCAACCTGAATGTACTGATCTGTCCCAGACGCCAAGATCACGTTACTAAAATATACGTGGAGTGAAATATTTACAGCTGAATTTTTACTGTTGCTTATTTGTCCTGATGAATAATTTGTGTTTAATGTAAATTTTCTAATTGTTTTCCACTGGGACCATGTAAAAAGAAAATATTGCTGTATATTACGGTGGCGACGGCCACACAGACCTCCAGAATCACATTCGGCCACTTTAACAGAGTTCTCCCTCATGTTTTTGTATTTTGTAATATTACCGCAGGGACATTTTTTTCCCCTTTTCCAGGACAAAATACAAAAAAAAAAAAAAATACAAAACTTCTCCCATTGTCATTAGTATATGCAAATGATTTTTGGTCGACTGCATTTTTGTGCCGCGTCGCTGCAAAACTAACCGGAAAGTTCACAGGGATAAATGTACTTGAAGAAGCATCAGAGTACCGGTGTGTTTTTCCCTATGGAGAAAGTTCAAGGTGTAAATAAGTTTGTAAATGTTGGACTGCCTATAGATCTAACTGTATTATGTAATAAAAAATAAATAAAAAAACACTCTGAAGAATGTCAAATATAAAATTTATAAAATAAATTCTATTATGTTTACAAATGTTTTGCTTCTTTCCCGTTTTATAACTACATTCAGGGACGTTGGACGACAAACAATCCTCATCTGAGGTGAGGAGAAAATGAACAGAAATAAAATGTACACACTTCACTTTTCGAACTGAACCATTTGTGCTTGAATGCATCAACTAGAGTTGCTGTCCTTCTCCTTCCTGAGGATCATCGTTCAGTGGAGTGTATAAAATAAACTGAATTCAAAGATGAACGAGAGCCTAGAAATACAAGCTTTTGTCGCTAAATTCTCAAATTGGAAACAATTACTTCAGAAATGCAAATCATGGTTTATATAAATCAGTTTCATTATAATTAAATTTATGTAATAAAGTTTTTCAAACGGCGGCTTCGTCTGTGCACAACCAACCCTACGGTAGCTGATTATTTTTTCTTACAATTGTTGATCTCAGATACCAACATAAAAGTATTTTGATTGACAAAAGAAATAGACAGTTTCAAAATATTTTATTACAATATAACTAAAGTTATTACATTATAATTCATGTTTCCCTCCAAAATTAACGTATAAATTTAATACATAAATATATTCCAAGAAACAAAGTGACAGAAGTTTAATATAAAACAAATAAAAAAAAACAGAAATATAATATTACTGACGAAAGCAAGATGAATGTCAAAACGTTTAAACCCAAAATGATGCTTTGTAAGATAAATTCAAATTTAATAATGAAGGACGAGTGTTAACATTTACAGTCCCCAAAATAAAGAGTTACCTTAAAGGAAGAAAACATCACTAAATCCAATCAAACCATAAGAAACCCACATTGTTCCTGACATTTCCCCCCAAAAAACCAAAGTTTATTAAGCAAACCTGCAGTCTGAGCTCGTCGTTAGAAACCTGCATGCAGAAATAAATGCACCGTCACACCTCATGCTCTAAATCCTGGGCCGACGCAAAACAACTTCAGATAAACTGCAAAGTAAATCAGTGATTCACAGCGTCCTCCACGTTCATCAGCAGCCCGGCTGCAGGTGTGTAAAAACCCTTAAAATAAAAACACCTCTTGTCTTAGTGGCTCAATACGACTCGGAACAAAATCAGAAAAATCTTCAAACTTCATTATTAATTTAATAAATTCACCGGGTCTCTATTTACTTTGAAGCGCCACAGATACTCTGATTGCTAACATCAGGTTTCCACCTACCTTTGATTGGAACAGCTATCAATAAATCAATCCCAATTATGTTTGTACTCGTCTTTACCAGAACTGCTAATAAACCGTGGAAGCCATTTGCTGACATTTCATGTCAGTAAGTAAATATGTGAAATCTCTAAGACGCAGGAACCATCCGTGAAGTGTCAAAGCGAGGCGTTGGAGGTGAGAATAAAATTAAATATGTCGACACTCAAACAACAAATATACATTAAAAAAAAAGAAACCAATAACATGAGTGGCAGAGGAGACTAAATCAATATTATAAAGAGACGGAGTGTGGCTGGGTGTGATTAGACAGAAACATGGGAGACGTATAAAAAGTGAAAACATGCAGGACAGAGAAAACGACGAGAGGAAAGTGATGTGGCCACTTTGACGTGAACCTCATGAACCTTTGTGGTCCGAGTTAAAGTTCTGATATGTAACCAGGTGCTTGGTAGATTCAGCAGAGAGTCTCTGAGGTCTTACCGTCTCCTCACCCGGCTGGTGAGTCGCATGCTTGATGAGCTGAGAGGAGACACACACACACACACACACCCACCCACACACACACACACACACACACACACACACACACACACACCCACACACACACACACACACATCCAGGATCTCAAGTGTTCGGGTTGAGGGATGAAGGACGTCTGGGTGTTTTCTCTCTCTGTTTTGTTTTTGTTTTTTTTAAATGTGGCGAGTCTTTCGTTAACATCCGTCCTTCTGGGTGATCAAGTGGTCCTGATACCGCTGCAGCATCTCCTGCATCCGCCGCAGCTGTGAGGAGAGAAGAGGAGGAGGAGGACGTCAGCTTCATCTGCACGACTGCACACACACACACAACTAATCGATAACACCGGGAGGATCACGTGATCCCCGCCGATCACGTGATCTGGGACGGGATGAGAGGAGGCGCCTCCGCCTGGCTCCCCAGCAGGAGTGCTGATATGACGACACGTTATTGTGAGCTGCAGGGAGTCTGCAGTTATGTTCTTATAAAACGTGCCTTTCATAAGGAAATGAAAAAGAAATGAGGGGAAAAATGTGCCTTTATTTCCATGGATAAATAGATTTCCCAGGGATAAACGGAGGAAGGAGAGGGAAAACCAAACATTATTATTTACACATTATCTGCTGTAATATTCACGACCACATGAAGGTCAAACAGAAAATATTTGGTTTTCAGGAACTGAAGTGTTAGGAACATTGTGCTGATGACATCTTTAATAACAGATACATTTATTAAGAAATATTGTTTGCTTTAACTGTAACTGGTGCTTTACGTCACTCTTTTAAAAGTGAATTCCTCAGTTTTACTGAATAAATAATCCAGACTTGACTAACAATATCCTGAGATTGTTCTCGTTTGTCACTCACCATCAGGACTTATCATTATTAATTTGACCTTTTCTCTTTAATCCTGGAATAAAAATAAAAACAGATTCAGGAAGTCACAGTAGAAGCTTGACGACGGCAAAAAAAACCGTTCAATTTCCTGTGAGGAAACATCTGATCAAATATTAGTGGAGGTGTTGGTATAAATTTGTGTGTGTAATTTCAAATTGTTTCTTATTTTTCATTTCATTATTTCATTTCATTATAAATCATTATAAATGTAAAAATAAGGCTTTAAATAAAACCCCCAGATTAATATGACATCCACAGTGATGTGTAAGTAAACTTGTATTCATGGTGTAACTTATTATTTTCCTGAACATTTTGTTTTGATGATTAAATAGTTGAGGTTTTTAGTTCCACTGACTCAAACATAAATCTGTCTGTAACTTAACGGCCATTTTGTGACTATTTTCCTCCTGAAAGTGCAAACATCTGCATCGATATCTCCTCCAGTCTTGGCTCAGAAGATAAGAGACGTTATGTGAGCTAACGGTCGTCAGAGGGCTTCATCAGCTTTCAGCTCTGAGCTCGTTCCTCTGCTGGCCTGGAGGTCTGGGGACTCATGGTGCTCAGAGCCACGCTGAGACTCGTGCTCTGGGTCGGGATGCGATTCCGGCTCGCGCCCGGCGGTCCGTACCTCCTCGTCTTTCTCTCGGATGAGCTTTTCCTTCTCGCTGTCCGACGCTCCGGGGGCGGTGGGGATGGGGAAGTCTGTGCCGCTCTCCCTGGTCAGCTTACTGCAGAGAGAGACGGAGACGTGTTGGCTTTTGTTCGCCGCGCCCTGCGGCGGCGGCGGCGCTCGGTGAACGTACTTGCGGTTGCGCTCCTTGACCACCATGCGGGTCATGCTCTGGATGCACTGGGCTCTGTAGTTCTCGTAGTGAGTCTCCCGGGTCACGTCCTTCAGGTCCTGCATGTGTGTGCGGACCAGCATGTTCCTCAGCTTGATGAAGTCACAGTGGGCGGCGTTTTCCACTGAAACAGAGGAACCATCGAGCTCAGCTTGTCTGCAAGTCACATGTTTGTCGCCAGAAATCACTTTGGTTTGTTACTTACCTTCCACGATGCCCCAGGGGTAGAGGCGGCCCCTCACCCGCTTCCCTTTGGCCTCCACCACCGTGTTGCTGCCAATTACTGCAAAAGGGATGCACTCCTTAAAAAAAAACAAACAAAAACACTCACAGTTAGAGTGCATGTTGTTTAAAACTCAGCAGGTTTTTTGGCTCTCACCTTCAGCTCAAGGTCTTGTTGCTTAAACTCTTCATCTTCATCGGAGTCGCAGTCCGGGAACTGATAGATCTTGATGCCGTACTGCTCGATCTCCTCTCTGATCTGCGGGGACAACATGTGATTGGCTGTGAGGATTTAAGCATCACTGCAGATAAAAAAAAAAAATCACCAGGATGACTTCACGTAATTTCACCATCGGTGTTCAGATCTACTGATGACGGTCTTGCCTTGATTTTCTTTTTCTTGACCTCGCTCGGGGTGAGCGTATCGGCTTTGGCCAGAATGGGTACGATGTTGACCTTCTCGTGCAGAGCCTTCATGAATTCGACATCCAGTGGCCGGAGGCTGGGAGGAGCAGAAAACACACCAAACCGTACGTTTTATGAAACAACTTCAGGATGATTTTCTGCTACAGACGATGCCTGTAACGTCCATCTATTCTGGTGGAAATGCAGTTCCCTCTAACTGTGCACCGACGTATTTATATTTTATATGTCTGATACACTCATTGTTTAGCATGACTAGACATTAACTGCATTAAGCAGGCAGGTGGAGTGGCATCTGATGAGTAATTGCTGTCACTAACCAGCAGAGGGAGCCCTTTCTTCACTCCTTTAACTCTATGAAGTCCCACAGGATTGTTTTATTGGATGTCTGATCAATGAGAAGCACAGCGAAGTGGAACAGTGAGAGCCAACAGATGTGAGTCAAAGCACCGAATCAGCAAAAGCAGCTCATCAATGTGAAAGCGCCGCGCAGGATGTGAAGGCGTCTGAGAGGCTGAAGAAATGCACTGCTTCTGGTCCAAAACAACCAATCAGAGGGGGCGCTGTGGTCGACCCACATGAGGAGGCCTGGAGCCTCGACGAGGCCATCGCAGGTCGGAGCCCCAGCCTGCTGCGTGTCTTCCCTCTCTCTCATTACACTGCTTTCCTAAAATAGTACTTTCAAATAAAGGTCACCAGAGCCAAAAAAACATTTTTTGAAAAGAAAAAACCCCAAACATTCAGAGCCAGGAGGAAGGTCATAGAGCCGTCAATGATCCTCGTGTACGTGCTGCTCAATGCGTCAATACAGGAAACTGTTTATCCGCCATCACTGGTGGCCATGGTAACTACCTTAAACAAGGCTCCTTTGTGGGTCACTGTAGCGTAGAGAGTGAGATGGAGGGTGATTGACGGCGCCAAGGCCCTCCTCCTGGCTCTGATTGGTTGTTTTTAACTGAATGGTCGTTAGCATTGGGAGCACTGGGAGAAAGAGGAAGAGCCTCCACAAATTATCGGTCTGCATGGACAAACAGATGGAAGGAACCAACGGGTCAACAGATGGATGGATAAAGCCTCCATGTCGGCTACCGATTAAAAGCCAGAATTAAGAGAGTTTCAAAATGCTGTTACTGAGTCCATCACTGTTCAGAACTATGGAGGAACCCTGAAGAACTCTAGATTTAAGATTTTGTGATGTAAACAAGCCTTGTTTGGTTTCTGGCTGTCACATAAACATGCTGAACTGCATCAGGAGAACGTTATCATTCCTAGGAAAAGCAAAAACAAACATCAAGCCGGCCAGCCACGGGGCCCAGCAGCGTCCTCGTACCCGTGGCCGAAGGGTGAAATGAAGTAAAGGCAGCAGTGAACGCGGTTGTCTTGGATGTTCTTGCGGTTGAGGCCGCTCTCGTCCCTGAAGTACTGCTCGAACTGCTGGTCGATGTAGTCAGCCACCGACTTCCAGCTGCGACCCAAAGAGATGACCAGTGAGCGCAGATGACAAGAGGCTTTCATCCCTTCACTTACCAGACAGTCTAAACGTACCACTCAGTGTTGTTGACAGCGTCACCAAATCCAGGGGTGTCCACGATGGTGAGCTTCAGCTTCACACCTTTCTCCTCTATGTCCACGGTGTGTTTGGTGATTTCAACCGTCTGTGTGATTCTCTCTGAGGAAAGAGTTCAAATGTCAGCCGCAGCACAACAAATGCCGCAGAGGTCAAAGCTGCAGCTCACTCACCTTCTGCGTTAAGCAGCTTCCTATCTTTGTACAAATCTGTGAGAAACAGGCTGTTGACCAGGGTGGACTTTCCCAGGCCAGACTCGCCTTCAAACAAAGAACAACACAGACCAAATCAGTGAGGCTCGAAACGCTGCGATTAGCAGGCGCTTCACAGTCAAAGGTGGGCTTAGGATCGAATGTCTGGAAGAGTGTAAATACGGGATTTACCAGCCACCATGAGGGTGAAGTCAAACCCTTTCTTGACAGATTTGCGGTGCACCTGGTTTGGCAGCGTTGCAAAGCCCACATATTCCTTGTCTGGGTCCTAAGAGTAAACGCAGACGGAAAACTCAATCAGAATTGTGTAAAAAAAACTGAAAACTGATAGAAAAAAATGAAAAAACGGCAAAAGCAGTTTACTATTAGTCTAGAAAAATATTAATGTATAATATTGCTTGGAGGAGAGAGGCTGATGGGATAAAAAGCTGTTTAAGAAACAGGTTGTTGATTATGATACTGACTCATGGGGTTCCTCAGGGCTGAGTGCTGGGACACAACTCATTTAGGTTGTACATGAACACAGCATCAGATATACTGAAATCTATTTTATTTGTCCAACTCATATTCTTTGTACAGGTTAACAGCCCTGGAACAACTAGCAAGAGTAAAAAAAAGGAAGAAAACAATACAAAACATATGGATAGATGATTATTATAAACACAATATGTAAACTAATTCAGTCAAATTTAGATTAGAACAGAGGGTTTATTTCCTCTTCATTTGTTAATTTATACGTTATTAAATATTAATTGTACTGAGGTTTCTACCTTTTTAGCAACAATAAAAACACAAACACATCATTAAAATGCGTTTTCTGCTCCCAATGAGGCATCAACACCTCCAAACGTGAGACTTCAGGGAACGACAGCCGACCTGTTCTCCAGATACATCAGCACGCTGATTGTAAAACAACTGTCTGCATCAACACGTCAAAGAGCGCAGCCTTTACAGCACCGCCAGCCGTACGGGTCAGTTATCCTCTGTAGTTCACTCAGCCTTTTACCTCATTATTGCTGTAGGGGTCAAACAGAGCCCAGGGGCTCCTCGGCCTGTTGGGGCTGATGGGAGACGTCAAGTCAAACTCCACACTTCTGCTCTGCGACAAGCTGGTATCTGAACCTGAATCTGACTGGGCTCGACCCGGCGCGGGGGGCTGCAAACGAGACGGGCTGACGGGTCGGTCTTGGCTGTCGGCATCGTGAGCGTCGTGGTTTTGGCCGTTCCCTCCGTGATGCGGAGGGTCGTGCATTATGTTCTCCACTTCGGAGTCGTCTGAATGGCTCAAATGCTGGAGACGCACCGAGGCCGGAGTGGATGGGTGAGGAGGAGAGAAACAAGTGGGGGTAAAAGAAGATGTACGGGGAGGAAATGGTGCCAAAAGTAGAGGGAAAGGTGCAGAGATCCAAGAGGGCACCAGGTTTTAGAGATGGAGTAATTTTTATGTTTGTGTTGTTTCACAAAGATGGCATAAACGAAGAGATTCTGAAGAGAAATTAAAACCAACATTTAATGCCAAGCTGGTTTTTTAAGAAGATGTTTCTGGTTGTTTAGGTTTTGACAAGAAAATCCTTCACTGGTGCAAACATTAAAATTAGCCTTTAACTACAAGAGCAACAAGCCAAATGTTGGGACACGTTCATCTGCTCTTTTATCACAAGACTGAAAGTTTGGGTCAAAATCAGCAGCACTAATTTCTCTCAGGGAATCATTATTCCTTGCATGTAAGGAGTAATATTGGACTCCATTTGAGGAGTCCATGAGGAGTTACACTTCAAGTCCTCAAGTCTATTGTCCATATTAATCTCTGATTTTAATAACTACCATGAGTTTTTAACGTTACATTTTTTTCTTTGCAAATCTGTTTTGGATCAACATGAACTATAAATCTGATTTATGCACAGACTTTGACTAGGCCACTCTAAAGCGTGATCCTCAGAAGGCTTCCCTGGGGTACCTGTGCAGCATTATGGTGCCTGATCTGATTGGGCGATGACGGGCAAGAGTCCTGCTCGTCTGATGAAGAGGAGGGCTGGTGGTCACTGTCCTCCATCGCAATGGGAGCTACACTGCACTCTGCAATCTCCAGTCACAACAGAGGAAACAGGTGGAGAAGATGAACAGGTGGAAAAGATATTCAGGACGGATATTGGAAAGGAGGGTCCAAAGAGGGAAAGTTAGGCGCACAAGGCTCAAGAGATATGAGCGGCGAGGTGAAAGGGTTGAGGAAGATGGAAGAAGACAGCAATGAAATAACAGGTTATAGAAATGAAAAACATTGAACAGATGGATGGTGTGGCTGCAGTTTACGTGGATCCACTGTTTGCTTTAGTGAATCAATGTAGGCATTTTGAGGTCGGCTGCGTATGCTTTTTAAAATTTCTGCACAGCGAACCATTCAGACTTTAAACGCTGATTTCCACCCATTCGGGTAAAATTGGTGACAGAAAGAATTGAGTCCCAGCTGCAGTTACATAACGCATGAAGTCACTGAATCTTTTATGGAAAGTTAATCCACTCACATTTCTATCCTATGAATATTTCAAATGAATATTGACACACACACACAAAAAAAACAAGACCAAAAAAAAAAAACTAGTCCACCGCCAAAGTTTTGGACATTTTAAACTGGGAATCCAACATAATTATCTGGTAAAAGAGTTCAGAGATTCAAATGTATGAAGATTTGTAGCTGGAGGGCAGCAGAGAAATCGACTTGCCTTCCTGAGCGATCACCAAATCACTAATCGATGAGCAATAGGGAGGATCTGTGACCCACATACACCACAGAGACCATCAGTCACACAGCTTTAACCCGACAGCTTCCTGTTCTTAGCTTAAATATGTCGCTGAGAAGCTGCAAACCCAACTAAGCAAAGAGTCCTTCAGCAACATCAGCTGGGCTGTCTAACAATCACAACTCTTCCCATCACTAGAGCCATGAAAAGCATTAATCGGGCCTGAAGTGAGAGCTGCAGTATAAAGTCCTTTCCTTTGTCGCCGGTGCATGCAGAGCATCTCCTCCTCCGTTCCAGCCGCTCACCTGTTGGACCTGCAATGTGAAAGCAAAAGCTCTTCTCTGCTGCACAGTTCGCTGCTCTTCATTCAGACTCCAGCTGGCAGTCAGAGCTTCAGCTCCAGCGCTGACAGAGGACACGGCGTCCTTCGGCTCCACTGAGCCAATCAGGGCCCCGAGAACCGATCGGCAGCATCGATCAGCTCCATGTCATCATTCAGAGGCCGAACACAGAACAAGACCAGAGGTGACAAAATGATGAAGAAGAGGATTTCTTTTGCTACCCTCAAGTCTGGATGACAATTCACCATCTGTGACACTTATTTATCAGACGTTTAACGTGATGAGAAATGGTTTGAGTTAATTGTGTTGGGGAAACAGGTAGATTTTCAATTACACCAAGAAAATGGAATTACATATTTATTTCTGCTATAAGTAGTTCTAGAGGAAATTGGAATTGGCTAAAATTGGTCAAAGATCAATTGAAAACGGATCAGAAGTTCTGATTGGTGCAAGACCTTAAAAGAGTGTCTGTACTTTTCCCTTCTGCTTTCTTTCAGTGACATTCCTGAACATGACCCCAAACCCGATCGGGTTACTAAGCAGGCATTACGGCGAGCGGCTGGAGGATTTATTCTCCTTCAAAAACACCATTTGTACAGCAAGTACATCTCAAAGTTAAAATTAGGCAACATGGCACATTTTTCTCCCAAACTCAACCAGCCAGGCCATGAGTTCACACTCATTCATGTCCTCAAAATATCTGTAGATAAATAAATTACATACCGAGTCAAAATCTCAACTACGAAACGACAGAAGCAAAAGCATCAGTGAGAAAAATGAACATGCTTAGTAGTGTGCAAAAAACAAAATTTTTATGTTATTGCCTCAAATAAATGAAGAGAAACCTAGAAGAACAGGCAGTGAACCAATTCCTCACATCCACAGAATGTCCCTTAAGAAAATGTCTCATCTGAGCTCTGAACCAATTAGTGTTTCTATAAGTGGCTGAGTGTTGATTCGTCTGAGGCCTTTTTCAACAGAAAGCTGAATAAACTCCAGTCCACAGCTGCACCGGGTTCAGCTTCAACATGAAATCAGGTCCAGAAGCAAAACACACAACTTCTAGCCCCTTTTGAAACTGCACAGCTGCAGAAGCGGCTTATGACAAATCATCTTTTTTATACTGTCAGTCAGTTTAAGCCCATTTGGCCTTAAAGACTTCCTAACATTACTTTAAAAATACTTTAAACACTTCCTCACATTACTCAGAAATGCTTTAAAGACTTCCCCACATTATTTAAAACCATGTCTCCTCCCAGTCAAAAATAAAAAAAATAAAAAGAGAAAATTAAACAATGGTATGTGGATGAAAACATTGGGCCTTGGCAGTGACATATCTTACTTCAGCAGCGGCTTCTTTGGCATTTCCTGTAATACTGATAAAAATGCACTCAAGATGTTTTCAACACAGACGTTTGTACAGCGCCTTGCAAAACCGTTCAACACCCTCCAAACTTTTTCACTTTCTGGAATTTTAAGTAATAGATTCACACAGAGTTCAGAGATGTTGGGAAGTAGAGAGGAAATTGCATTTGTTTTAAAATCTTTAAAGCGTGGGGTGCATTTGTTTTTAGGGTTGAATCAAATTCTCTGTGACCAGTTGCCTTTGAAGATGATCCATTTAGTAAATAGATTTCACTCTGCCATCTTTGCACAATAAAAATACTTGAAATACTTATTGCTAAAAGAGAAAATGGCTGATTTTACAAAATAATAATTCAGGTGAGCTGAATACAAGAGCACATCCCACATTTCAGATTGTTATTTGTAAAAACCTTAAAGAACAACTATGCATCATTTTATTTTCATTTACTATTTATGCACCACTTTTTGTAGTTCCAATTACAAAAAATCCAAACAGTGATCATTTTAGCCTCAGCCTGTGAAGAAAAAGTTCAAGGCTTATGAATATAATCAGAAGGTTTTTCATAAACTCCTAATGCTCCGTCTGGCCTGCATTGCCTGGTTTGTTATGTGAAACAAGAGATGGCAAAGTAGCAATCTGAGCAACCCTTCTGTGGTATAAACAGTTCGGGAAAATAAAAGTAATCATTTTAATCAAATTTAATAAGCCGTTGCAGAGGTAAGTGATAGTTTGCTGCTCAATTAATGAGATGATAATAGATTTCGTAGCCAACTCTTCAGAAAGACACCAAAGTAAGAAGAATAAGCTGAAGTTTGTCAAAGTGCCTTCTGCTGGGGCTCAAACCTTCAAGACGAAGCCCTGCAGCCCCAGAGAAACAATCGAAGGACATGAAACCCAGCACAACATAAACAAGTTGCGCGGCTGAATGCGCTGCTTTGTTACTCTTGGAACGCGGTCGTGCGTTTGGCTGACACAGGACTGACCGATGATTTGTTACATTAAACACGGCTCTCCGGGGGAAGGCCGTCTTCAGCCGCTCCCTATGCCACATGGGAAACGCAATCAGAAGCTGCCAGAAGTCATAAAGAAACTGTATAGCATGTCGCTATTGATCTGTTGTGATGAAAGCATATTTCAGCCTGGGAGGAAATGGACGCAACAAAATCGTTCATAAACCCGGCTGCAGTAATCACCCAAATCATTTGTTTTGGCAGCTTTGGCACAGAAAATTACATGATTGTAAAGGAGTGCAGTGTGGGAGTGTGAACAAATTATACATGAATGATATTTTGTACATATTAGGGGTGGATGACAGGAATTAAAAATAAAATCTCAGATTTTTTCATATCTGATCTGTTTTTGACCCTCTTTTTTTTTTTTTACAGCAAATATCATTTAACTTTTTAAATAAATCGCATTTACTTCAATCATCCCCTCTGTTGTCCAATGGAGTATTAGCAGCCAGCTATGACAATAGTTGCTTATGAGAACATAACCATAATATTAACAAAATAAAGACAAAATTCCACAAGAATCTCTTAAAATGACAAATCAAAAGTAATTTTAATGAGAAAAAAAGCTCACAAATTGTGACATTTTCATCTAAGTCTGTGTGGTTCTTTCAAAATACAGGGTGGGCCATAAGTTTCCATATATAGGAGAATGTTAAATGAATATTTCTTTTACATTTCAGATACCCAAAAAGATCCATTTGACAAAAGAGCAAAGAACTTAAATTATACTGATGGCTGAATCAGGAAGCAGTCGCATTCAAAATACACATGAAAATAGTTTGATTCTGATGTGTTAAATACATAATTTAGTATTTCCTTATCTGTAAAATGTGTAAAGCTCACAAGATGCTCAACAGGAAAAACAGATTTTCCACAAATTAATATGAATTAATTGATGAAATCGATTGATTGCCCAGCCCTAACGAATATATGTTTTAAATGACCCTTTAAACACGAATCCATAACAAAAACAGAAGCCTGTGTGTTTTCCTCCAGCCTGTGAATAGCAGTGAGGCTCCCCTTGTGATGAGGCCAGCAGCAGGTGGTGGAGTGAGCCATGTGCGCTCTGTGTGAATGCTGTGGTTGTTTGGATAGTAAGAGCAGCGCTCTGTGTGAAACTGGCTCGGCACACAGAGCGGGAGGCGGAGGGAACAAAAATAACCCCTCTTCAAAACACTCTCCCACAGCTCTGCATCTCAGGCGAATGATAGCTACCAAAACCTTAGATGACGCAACAAACGTTTCCCTATGCAGCAGAACTATATTCATAATAAATAACAAAAAGTGTAGAATGATAACTACAGAGTAATGAGAATAAGCTAACGTCTGCTACATGAATTCATTTAATACAAACATACATCTACAGGCAGTTATTTCAAAGAGCAAGCAGGTGTGTCAGCTAATTATTCAGACTGATGCAACACAGTTCGACCTGATTGGACCAGCTGGTCACTGGGCGTCATCAACAATTTGAAGCTCTGCAGTTTTGGTTGTTCTCTACCGGACTTTTTCAGGTCAGAAAAAAAGATCCCTCTGCCGATGAACACCAAATTTCACCAGCTTTGGTGAATTTTAGGTGAATTTACAAAGGATGGGGAACAGGAAGACTAAAAGTGTTGCAGCAATGTTTTAACCTTTGGAGCTTTAAATTTGTTTGTTGCCATGTTTGGAAATAGTGGCAGTAGGGACTTAAAAATGTGGCCTTGATATTTTTGTGACGTTATAAGATCAAATAGTAGCAGTGCCATTACCACTACTACTATTTGGTGGGTTTGCTAGCTTTATCAATTAGAATTTAAAGCAGTTATTAGCACAATAATTAATACATTTATTTGACATGTTAAGCAATCCAATAATTGTCCATTCCTAGCTTGAAGCATTTTGATAATCTGTATTTTCCAGTATACAGTCAGGGAGACTGCTAATTGCTCAATTACAGAAGATACTAAAAGCTACTTAAATTGTGAACTCTGATTATTTTGTCCACAACTCTGATTTTAGTCTAAAACGCTTTGAGAAGTCTCCACCTGGTAGCAGTAATACTTACTGATCCTGTTCACCAGGAAGGCTGGAATGTGACTCATTATTTCTCTAACAGGGAAATCAGATCTATTAAAATGTGCATCAGCAGATCAAAAACATCAGCCACAAACCTCCGATCAGCATATGTCTAAAAAACACTTTGATAAGTCAGGAAAATAGCTGCAGCACATACCTCTGCTTCACTACTAGCCTCTGAAATCATTGCCCAAATATCCATTGAGTTTCACCTCTAGCAGAGCCTCAGACGACGACTCGGAGAGAGCAGCTCCTTCAGTCTTTATCAACTCACAAAAGAACATCCACTTCTCTCGCCTCAGTCCGTCAATGGCAACTGATACTTTACACTCCTCCCATCTGGCTCAGTCTGGGGACATTTCTCCCCAGACAGGTACAGATTCAGTCCCTCTGCATGTCAAGCATCTCCAGAGCGCCGCCCTGCTGACCCATTTTGTCCAATCTTGTGGTCATTTGCAGGTTAGTGGCTGCAGGTCATGAGTGAGAGGTCATCCATCATCCTATTCCACAAACTACACCTCTTTATGCAAGGCATAAAATTCATAATTCATGACTGAAATAGTGACAGAGCACTCTTAACAATTTAGCTAAAATGAGAAAATGGTTAAAGAAACGAGTTGATTTGTGAAAATGAGTGTGAGCAGAAGCTTTTACAGAGGCAGACCCGTTTAACTCTGAGCGATGGCGGTGCTTCGTGTGAGTCCATGGAGGAAAAGTTCATGCATTCATGCTACAACTAATCTTATTATTTAATGAACACTGAAGTGGGCCAGAGCACAAAGCTTCTGATAATCTGGGGACATATCTGAGCCTTGAAAGTCTTGTCACTCTTTAAGAAATAGGATTTGGGGGTTAAATCACTGCACTGATCTTGTGAGTCAAATTTCTGTAAAAAGCCTAATGCCAGTGCAGTATTAACTGCAGGAGTGTGTTTCTTGATTCAACAAACCATAATTGTCCCTGAGATGAAGCGCATACTTGGAAACAAAGATGTAGTTGGAAAAGCCCAGCTTAAGTCTGGGCTCAGATTAAATCTCACCGTTCTACTGCAGAGAACAAGCAAGGGCTGAGTTCAGCTGGGAATTCATTTTCTGCCTGTGGGAGGAGAACCAAGCTCACCAAGATCCCAATCTTAATCGTGCTCAACTCAAGACTGCCAACTTATACGACTGTAATAGGTACCATGAGAAGCAGCAGACCGAACGCAGCACGAATAGCATCGGGTCAACATAATGCTTGTTGAACAAACCACACAGTACGCAAATCCCAGATTTAAACGTGACAGAGGAGACATGGCGTAAGAGACAGGAGACATGACTTCCTGTAAGGAAAGATGGTGTCTGAGGAGAGGGCTGCTGCTCTGCCTTAATCTTCTCTGGCTGGATCACATCAAGGCAGTGATTACTATGGACTGTCTAAAAGGGCTGACGGAGCCCAGGGAACGGGCGGCTTAGCTTAGACTGCCTGCACTGACATGAACTTATACATGGAAACAAAGTCAAGATATCAAAAAGTTTATCAATATGACTAATCTCATCAGAAATGTTCTGGTGCTGCGATTTATACTGCAACAAACGTTTAATATTGCAATATTTAGCTACATTTCCCCAGCATTTTTTCAGAGCATCAGCATCTTGAGTCCATAAAATTTACAGTGAGGACAAGAAAAGCCTATCCAACAGAATAGTTGCAGAATATGTCACATGAAATGTAACGTAATATTGCATCTTTGTAATTGCAGCAGTGCAGACAAGGACACTTCAATGCAGTTGAATGCAATTTAACATGATGTGCAACATAATCTTAATTTAAAAACTCAGTCTAGTCAAGGCTATACTGAATAAAGACTAGACTGAGTTTTTATCAAATCTAAAACTAAAAATAAAAGGCAGAGGCAGAGGATACCTGAGAAGGTACATGAGTACTACTCATCCTGCGTTCAGAGAAACTGATATGTTTGCAGAACCAGCAGCACAGACAGCAGAGGATGGACAGTGCCACCTGCTGCTTACCACTATAAAAGACTTTACTGCCATACATCACACACTGCAAAAAGTCACCTTTCAAAAACTAGAAAGAAAATGTACAAAAATAGGGTATAATTTTCTCAAAATAAGAAAAATTATCTGCCAACAGAACAAGAACATTTATGTTGTCAAGAAAAAATATCTAACCAAGACGAATCTACAAAT